CACCGAGCCAAGCGAGCGCACTTGACGGCCAGAGCCCGCGTTTCCCGGAATGAAAATGACGGGTATCCCGTTCACCTTCTGCGTATGTCTTAACAAATACCCCTGATGAAAACATTTTGAAAAACGCTGAGACGTACATGAAGTTGTAGGCGTAGGCTCCCTCGCCATAGAGTAGCAAAGTGTAGCGTTCACCATGCCGGAAGCCGACATCCTAAAGAATGTTCGATAAATCACAGATCTTGATGCAAAGGCATACCATGTAGTTCATCATGCGCCACATGAAAGTCATCGCGCAGTCATTCTTTGTTTCCCGCTTGAGATGCCGCCATGTGAGAAAGACGCAGAAGCCGACGGCAGCAAACGCAAGGAGCTTGGCGGCGTTGACCCGTCCTCCACGCATCTTGATGTGGCGGTACTCCAGCCTACGTCATCTAAAAGCTTTTGTGAAAGCGAAGCACTTGGATATTGCTGCCAAGTAGAGCTTCATAAGCGCCTACATTATATGCTAAGGTATTTGTCCTGTGATAACGAAAATTTAAGCTCGGACACATGGCCAAACTAGAATTTTCGCTATATGGACTGCTACTTGATTTCGGCTACCAGCATGATCAGTCATAAGCTTTCTGCGAATGTGATAATGCTTAAACGAATTAACCCATTTCATTTGATTTCATACTGATACAACTTCCACACAATCTTTAGCCTCTCCACTTTCAAGTGTTCGTTTCCTGGTCGTGTTCTCCTAATTATTGCGCAACCTGTAAAATTATTCATGGAAGCACCTGACCCTAGCACTCTAAACTTTGTCCTTAGACACCAGCAGCCAAGAATGAGCGATTTTACACCGGAAGTGGAAAGCGACGAAGAAGACCCGCCGAGTCAGCCGAATGCCGAGTCGGGAAACGCAACAAGCACAGCTTCGACGTTCAATCAAGGTACAAACCGGCGTTCCTCATTAAATACAGAATACAGTTTCGGGGCAAGAATATTTTGGATTAATGGACACACCCGGATGCTTGATTTAGGTGCTGCATCCACGACCACCGAAGCTACTACAGCCTCTAAGGAAGCTGCTACAGCCTCTACCGCAGGTACGCATCATGTACCGCTGGACGTTCTCGAAAAAAAGGCACAGTCGGCTAACTCCTTGCGCGTTTAGAACCGGAACGACGCTACGTCAATGGTCGGTGGTTGTGCTATGATGTCGGCCGTGATGCATACCTTGAGTACGTCGACAACGAATGGAAGGCCGTAGAAGGAGTCGACAAGGCTCAGTTAAAGCAACAGTGGGATAATGCAGAGGCGTCCACCGCTACCGCGACGGCAGAAGCTAGCAACCCGTATCGGTGCGTCGTAAACGGCGTCGAGATGGTAAAGAATCCGAATGTTTCAGATTGCGATGATCGTGACTTGCTCTAGGTCTGGAACGACGCAGCAAAGCAGTGGATCCCCAACACGGATATCAACGAGGACTTGCTCGCCTACCACCATCTGACGTACGGCGTTCATTACGATTACGACAGCATGCCGAAGCCAGAACCGAAGAAGGAAGCACCTGAGGAAAAGGAGAAGCCCGCGCCGCTCACAAAGGAGGAAAGGAGGGCCAAGAAGCGGGAAGCTGCGGCTGAAGCCATGAAGCAGAGCCAAGGCTGGGTTGACATTAGTGACGAAAAGAACACGTCTGTGTACGTCTCCGGGCTTCCGCCTGACATAACCGTCGAGGATTTTACGGTGCGTTTATAACTGTCATCTTAACATGATGCACGATCGTTTCCAGGCACTAATGTCGAAATGCGGCGTGGTCATGAAGGACCCGAGATCGGGCAAGCCGAAAGTGAAGCTCTATCGCAGCGATGCCAACGACGGTACCTGTTGCTACGTGAAGATGGAGTCGGTGGAACTCGCTTTGACGATTATCGACGGATCCGAGCACGACGGACACAAGATCCATGTGGAGAGGGCCCAGTTCCAGATGAAGGGAGACTTTGACCCGAAGAAGAAGAAGAAGCGACTCTCAGCCGCCGAGAAGAAACGCTTCCTCTCTAGTCAGGAGAAGTAATCGTTGCATTGAGCGAGCAAATTCCACTCGAGAATTTAGAATGTTTGAGTGGAAGCCCGAGAAGCCACGAAACTACAGACCGATATCAGACTGTACAGTGGTCTTGCGGAATCTCTTCGACCTGGAGGAAATCGATGTAAATGTTGGCAATTACGAATAGTGGCACAATAAGTTTTTCAGATGAATGCCGCCAAGATCTTTGATCTCAAGGAGGAGCTTTCCCAGCTGTGTTCGCGTTTCGGCGTCGTCAAGAAAGTTGTCGTGTACGATGTGAGTATTCTTTGCATAGAACGTTGCTTAGCACGACCACTAAAAATTCTATCCAAAACGTTCCAGACGAATCCTGAGGGCGTAGCAACCGTCACATTCGAAAGCGTCGAACACTCAGACATGGCGGTGAAGATGCTGAATGGTCGGATAGTCGGCAGTCGCGTGATCGTCGCAACGCTCTGGGACGGCAAGGAGAAGTTCAAGCGAGCGGAGACCGAAGAGGAGCGCCAGCGGCGCATGCAGTCCTGGGAGAACTTCCTCGGCGACGAGGACGAAGAAGACGATGACGAGCCGTCAACATCTGAAAATGGAGCAAACGAACAAAGCACTGCCAAAGTCCAAGCGGTAGAGACGAACGTCAACCCTTCGTAAAGGCCGATGGTCTATGAGTTCCGTTATGTTCGTTATTGTATCGTATTAACATAAGTTGCCCTGTTGTCGACGCGTTGTTGCGGGCAGTCGCAAGACTTCATTGCACTAGAAAAATAAACTGCACGGTAACTCGTATTGTACAATGGTAGTCACGAACTGTCGGATACTTTCCTTACTGCCTCGTAAACAGTTTAATTAACCTTGTTTTGAGAGATCATCTATGAAATATGGCACATAATCTAGGAGGTAGGTCTTTGCAACCAACCAGGATGAGTTAACCCGATGAAAAGGCGTTCCTCTTTCGAAAGTCCGAAAAAGAGCAGGATTCCGCTGTAAAGGCACCGAAAATGAAGAATTAGCTGTGGGAAAGATACCAGAAAAGAGCAAGCACCTTGGCACATAACACAAACGCAATAGTAAGCTGACCGAACGAATCCTCACGGATCATTTGTAGATCTGATCATTGCTCTGTTTGACTGCGTCTCGTCGACAACCCAGCCAGAGGCGCGAGAAAGCATTGCGGAATCGCTGGGCATACTCGGCAACAAACAGCCCGGACTCTTTCTCAGTTCCGCACATGCGTTCCTCGTCCAACAGTCAAAGGCCGGTGTCTGCTTTGCGAGGAAGCCGTAACGTCGAGTTTTAGCTTTCTGCCCAGAATCGTGCCTTCGTTCTCAGCTCCATACAGAAAGTCCTGGAGAAGCAGAATGTCCTCGAGGACTGTGACGAACAGCAAGCGCTGCTCATCATCAACCTCGCTGCACAGGAAATGACTATGACCAAGGTAGATCGACAGTGACCATCGGGAAGCGAAACAACTTGTGTTGCTTAGGACTCCGACGAAGAATGGGCGAACGCGGCAAAGGATGTTCTCGTCAGCATGGCTAAGCACGGACGTTTCGTGGGACATGTGATGGATGCGTTACTGCAAAAGTTCCCGCCTGGTCTGACGGTTCCGCCGCATCGCTACGTTATCCTTGCTCTCGCGGCCGTAGCTCAACACAACGGTACCCGAACGACCTCCTATAAAGCAGCGATTAACGCATGCGAATTTCAGCTTTTGGATTCGTCCCCTTCCTAACGGACATTCTCTCTCGCGCAGTACCGCTGCTGAGCCACCTTCGCCACGATGCCATCAAAGCCGCCTGGTCGCAAGCACTTTGCTCCTTTTGTGAATCTGTGATCGAATTCTCAGCCGCGAACAAATATGCGAAACCGACGAAAGAAGGTAGGTTTACCATCCTTGTTAAAAAGTAACGTCGCGCAAATTTAGCGAGTGAGGACGATGAACCGGTGGAGCTTGCCCAGCCGGCGATGCCCGCGCTTCAGAATGGCCTCGAAGACGTGCACGAGAACTACAGCGATCAGATGGAGTCCGCATACGACGTCGTATCCGCATGGGTTTATGCAAAGGACTCAAAAGTACGAAATTACTGGTCCAGTAGCTCCAAACCGTCATGTCGCTTAATATCACCAACGGTGGTGTTTAGTGTCGAGCCGACGCTACGGAATGCATCGGCACGCTATGTCTTATGATTTCCCGCGAGCGCATCAATCGCGACTTGAAGAAGCTCGTCACAATGTTTCTCGCCCTATACAAGAAGACCACATCGCTGGACGAGCAGTGCGCAGTGACAAGGGTAAACAAGATTCTCAGGTCCCCAGTTCAGTCATGTCATTAGGGAATCACCAACTTCTTGCAAGCAGCGTGTGCTGATGAAGCGTTGCCGGTGGAGCACTATTTGGACGACATATTCAACACGCTGTTCCCCCACGTGTGCACTGTCACGGAACAAAGTAAATTACTCACGGTTCGACAGTACTCAGTTACAACCTTAGGCTTAACCAGCGAAGGATCCCCGTCGGTTTCACCGAAGTATTCGGCGATAAAGATTCGCAACGAAGCATACCGTTGCTTCCAGGTGGCTTCTGGTCGTTTCGCTGACCGCCAGGTCTACTACCTGCTGCACAAGATGCAGAACGAGAAAAGCTCGGTGAAACTCGGCGCTATCAATCTCATGCGCCATCTGCTTAATTCCGCAAGTAAGTAAAGCGGGCTTGAGCTAGTGGGTACGCAAGTAGTGGGTGCGATTCCTTTCAATACGCCTTTTTACCCTAGTCTGTTCCTGTTAAATTCGGTTCTACGTTGTTATCTACCGCTATGTGTTGCCAACGAAATTATGAATGTAAAAATTGTACCCCACTAATGGGCAGAGCAAAAGCTGCGTTTCAAACCGTTTCACTAGCCGCATGCTCACCCCTCCTCCTTTTGGTGCGTTCGGTTGACCCAGCGGTCGGTTCTCCCGTGGCGCAGTTGGTTAGCGCGTCGTACTTATAAGTGAATGAGCCATGCGAATGTCGCGGGTTCGAGCCCCGCCGGGAGAAGAATTTTTTATCGCACCAAATATAGCTGGAAAAAATGAACGAAGTGGCGAATTCGCATGACGGTGGCCAGTGGCAGGAAGAATAATGGCCAAGCCGTAATGCTTGGATGCTACTGGTCAAGAGGATCATGCAGTCCCGCTGTGTCCAGGACTGCACGAACATTGCTGCTACTTCGGTGGACACTATTAAACCACGGCTTCGAGCGACGCTAGCGAGACTATAGGCGTGCGCAAAAATGTTACCCATGACTATTGTAAAACCGTTATGAGGTTGCAGAAACTGTAATAAGGGCTTTGATTCTGCTTACACTGCCCATTAGGATGCAGTCCAGCTTGTTGTTCAAATCATTTCAGCGTTCAAGGAGGAAGTTTTCCTCCATGTGCGCAAAAGTCAGAGCACCGAGCAGCAAAAATACGCGCACGCCGTACCCTCCTTTACGAAATGAGGGTGGCAATAGGGCAGGATAACGGCACGGGTTTATTAAGGATTCGAATAACTCTATTAAACGCTCTCAAAACCATGAAAGAAGGGAGTCTTTTGCCCCGAACGATGCTGTCCGCTATAACTTTGGTATGGAAGCGGTACGTGGGTACCATGACCCTATCGAACTTTGTTACTTTCAGATGAGTTCGGTAATAAAAAGTTTTCTCCCGGCGGGGCTCGAACCCGCGACATTCGCATAGCTCAATCACTTATAAGTACGACGCGCTAACCAACTGCGCCACGGGAGAACCGATCCAAAACGGGCGATTAGCGCGTCAGGAGGGACTGTAACCATAGCGCTTAGCATACAACCGCCTGGGAAATAAAATGATAGTTATTCTGTAAGCAGGCTTATAACGCTTCTGGAGAAGCCAAGCCAATACAGAAGGACCATGCGAAGAAACCAACACATACGTACTGTTTTTTTTTGCAGACAACCAAATGGAGGACAAGCGCTCGCTCATAACGATGGGGCTTAAGCCACTGCTCATGGATGAGATGCTCTCGGTCCGTGCGAAGATGAGCGTTTGCCAGCTATGCGTCGCACTGGCCGACCACGGCTACGTTCAACCCGAAGCAGGCGGTCTGCACGTCGTCCAGTTCCTCGTGCGGAACTTAGTCTACAGCCCCGATCAGCATGCGGTATGATTCGTCGTTAACCCGTCGTTGCATCCCTCACTTATTTCAGAGCAAGAAGGGTGCTCTGTCTCCGACTACTACAGAAACATCTGCATTGAACCAACTTCACGCGCAATGTGCTCAAGCACTGCACACAATCGCCAAGACGTGTCTTCCAGCGCACAAGGTACTACTTTAAGCCAATGCCTTCCCTTCGACGCAACGTTACTTTCAGCTTCTTTGGCCGTACCTCTTCGAATTTATCTGCGCAGAAGCGTACACTCCCGTTATCGCCGATATTTGCAAGTGTCTTCGCATTCTCATCGCGCGTGGCAGAGAGGAAAATCAAGAGTTGGATTTCACAACTGACTTCGACACCAACCGTATGCACCGCTGTCATTGTCTATCGTAAAGCAATCTTTAGCACGGCTTGCTGGCCCCCTACAAGTTCTGTCTCGTCTATGCGTTTGCATGAATGGTGCACCAGTGAGCGCAACTCTGTTGAATCGAGCCCGCGAATCGATACGCCTGCTCGAGGAAGTCGGCGCCTGGTTCCACGAAGCTTTGCCCGCGGTCTTCACCGAGTTCTTGCCTAGGATGCACGCCTACCTTGACGGTAGCACACTTCACACTGCTGCTCACACAATAAGCTCTCATTTCAGGTATGACTGGCGTGCCCTCGTCTAACGAGCGTCATCACCGCATTTTACCGTCGCAGCTTTCTGACTCGTCGAACCGACTAGAACAGTGGAACGCACAAGTCCTGGAGTTCCTGAACGCGTGCGTATGCGCGGTCAACAGCGGCGAATGGCGTCAAGCACTGGCGGCTGCTACTGCCAAGCAACTGCAAATATACAACCAACAACCCCACGATAAGGTACCTTGACCAGTGCTGGTTATGAGGGACTCATTCTTCAACTTTAGGCCTTCTTGATGCGATGCCTCGGCACGGAATTGTCGCGAATAACGAACACAGGATTCGTCTCGGAGCACATGCTTTTGCTCGTTCGTAGCGTCAACCACGGTGACCAAGTGGAACGAATCGGATGTGCGATGGCGATTGGTCACTGTTCCCAGACGCACACGGACCTTATGCTGACGGAACTCGAGAATATCGCCAAGTGGGAGCATACGCGCAGAACCGCGGGCTTCCTCTCTTACATCAAGGTGTGTATTCCGATCTTACCTAATTGCCGCAACTTGCGTAACTGCGGTGCGTTCTAGCAATGCTATTCAGGATGCAATGCCGTACGGAAAGTCGGTGGATGCTGAAGTGATCAACCTTCGGGCCACCATCGTCCTCAGTTACGGATACGTCGTGCTCTACTGTCCTGCCGACGTGGTAGTCCAGCGACTCGAAGGAACGGTTCTACCCTTCCTTCGTCAGTACATGGCTAATGCACAGGTATAGCCATACTTACGGTCGCAGCTTACATACAACATTCAGAACAACGTGGTCGTCCGTGAAGCGCACTTGGAGACAATAAACTTGATTGCGATCACCGTCCATCCGTCGCGTCTGCTTGGCGAGTACACGTTCGAGTCCCGATATGAATGCTTCAGCTACATAAAGGTTAGAACGTACGCGCGAGCACTTGAAACGCGAATTTCATTTTAGCAATACATTCAAGAGGACTCTCCAGAAACATTGTCGAACTGGGTGCGCTTACTGGCGTGTAAAGCAACAGCGGCTCTTGTGTAAGTACTAAGAAGCTGCCCGTATCGCGTTGTACCTTCCGATTTCAGGAAGCTCGATCCGCCACTGAGCGACAACGAACTGTGGACCCTTGGTCAGGGGCTCACGCAGGCCGTGTTCCCCATATGCCGTGAAAAAGGCGGTCTTAAGACGGTGAGCCTTCCGACCATTGGCCATACTTTGTTCAGGCAGAATAAAATAAAAATGGCGTGTGACTGCCTATGCTTCTTGGCTAGTACTTCGGCTTGGGATCTGTCTTTGCGTTAGCGCATGCTCTACCTTTGCTTTCAGTCACACCCTTTCTCGGCTTCCTCGCTTTTCCTTACGCATTACTCTGAGACTTGTCCTTCTTCGCCTTCGCCCACCGTTGCACGCCGGCCGTCGCATTCCAAACGGTGCTCTTACCGGAAGCACACCGTACCCGAAGCGCAGTACAGTCGACTGGGCAACTCGGTACGCACAACCTGCTTCTCCCCTTTTGTTCGCTTGGGGTTTGAGCCATTCTTTTGCATTTCGCCGGCTATGTGCCTCTTCAGATAGACGACCATGACTCCTCAACAACCATCGAGGCCACAGTTCTTCAGTACCGTAGTGCCATAACGAATATCGTCAAGAAACGACCTGTGGTGGATACCGTCGGTCAACTGCTCAAGGTTAGTGGTATATGGACGATCAACCAACAGAATTTTTCTGTTCTAGATCTATATCCAATACTACGGATCGGCGCATGACCACGAACGAGCGCGTGCAGTGGACTCCACGGTTCTGGCTCTGCAAGTCTACTTTGAGAACGCTGCTGACTGTCCGCTGGGCCAGGCCAACGATTTTATGCCGCTGAGCAGCATTCTCGGTCGACTCTGTCCGCGGCTCGCGGACTCTCTTTGCTCTGTACGGCACGCTGCGATCCGTGCTGTATGGCTGTCGTTCCGCTTGAGTCTCCTTCATCGTGGGCACTCGCCGCAGGACACGGAGCTGGTGGACAGCGCACTGTTTGACTTGAGCGCTTTCATCGAATCACGTCTCGGTAGCGAAGGAAAGCTGGACCAGCACAAATGTCGCACCGCTATCGCAGTCATTGCGAAGGTAATCATTGCAGCACTACGCAATGTTGGCTATATAATGATCGGTTTAGGAAGTCGAAGCCCGTCTACCGCAAGGCCAGGTGCAGACCTATCTGTCGGTCCTCTTCAAAATGCTCTCGGATCAGCAAAGCAACGTGAGCAGCAGCGCTGCACAGCTGTTAAGCGTCGTCGTTGCGGACCGGGGGCACCTGCTGCACGCCGAGGTAGCAGCGTCGCGTCTGTCAAGACGAACAGAAATGTATTTCAGGCCGAAGTGTTGGTATCGACGTTGCTCGAACATTTGGCAGCGGTTCATTCAACGTACCTGCAGACGTACACGGACCTGTTGAACGCAGTAAGCCTGTTCGCGGCACACCAGCAGTACATTACGGTGGACGTGCTCCTTAAGCAACCTCTGCCGTACACTGTGTAAGTCGTAATCACGATACAATCTTGTCAAAGCACGTCTACCTTTTTAGGACGAATGCGGACGTATGGTTGACCCTTGCTCGGGAGCAATTGCAGTTTGCCTCGGTAATCGACTACGTTCTGGAGCTGATGGGTGGCTCGAATTCCGTGACGGACAACGGCGATGGACGTCACTTGCACTCACCTGTCACGACCTCTGCGCGTTCCTCACTGTTCGACGTCATCGACACTGGCGGAGGCGCAGCCGTCAAAGTGGTTTCCAGCGAAGCATGTGCACTTACCGCTGCACTCGGGGAGCTCATCAAGGTACAGGCTGACAAGCGGAAATGAGCTTAGGTACGCTGGCATTCTTCTTTAGGGAGGAGAACCAGAGGACGCGTTGTTCGCGAGAGTGCCCGTCTGCTTCGCGGTGCTACTCCAAATGTTATGCGCCGTCGTCGACACTCAGTATCCAGTTGTACAGAAGGAATCATCCGCACCTTCCGGTACAGCTACAGGCACAAAAGGTTGGCTTGTGATGTTCTTCTCTTCCCGGCTAAACTCTGTGTTAAGGCAAGAAATCCGCTGTGCCGGTCATTACGCCGGAACTGAGACGCGTCTGCCCGACACCCGCGGTCCTCGTGTCCGGAGCGCTGAAATCGTTGCTGCTACGCATTCACGCAGACGTAGTCGTGGAAACCATGAACTCGGAACGCGCATGGACAAATATTGTG